TTCAGTAGTAGAATCAATAGGGGTTGGGGGGGAAGCTGTTTAAGACAAAACCTCTTTGGATAAAATTCCTTTTATTTCAGACACTAGACTCCCATTTCTAGATAAAACCAAGAGATAAAGAGAAAATGAAAAGGTTACTTGTAGTTTCTAAAATGCACTACAGATCTGGTGACAGACGAACTTGCATTCTGCCTTCGTTTTTTCCAAAGTGATTCATTCTTGGTTCCTGAACACCTGCTTAAAAACAGGGCTTTCTTCTCTCTCTGTCCTCAGGGTGTGCCAACCATGTTTGAAACCATGAGGTAGGCCTAATACCAGCGAAGGGGGGGAGGGAGGCGGGGGGAGGAAAGTCCTATTTGATCTCCATAATGTATTCATTGTTTGAAACCATACATTGGGCAGAAAGCTGTGGTGAGGTTTGTGGTGTGAAACAGGGAACCCATGCAAACTCTGAGAGCAACAGTTTCCATGCCCGAGGTGGGTGTTTACGTTGCAGAGGCTGGAACGCTTGTTAATGCCTTAAGTTTTCCTTCCATGAAGACAGCAGAAAGTTTGGGGTTTTCTTTCCATCCAAAATTTTTTAAGCAATCCACAGTCAAAAGGAAGGTTTGACCAGCAGAATCTACTCGCCACGAAGACGGTCCTGCGCTTCCCAAGGGCGGCCATCTGCAGGACTCTGCCTCTCGCTCTCCCCACTTCCCTTCTCGGCTGCCTCAGTCTCTTTTTTTTCAGCTCCTTGTCAGTTAATTCACGTTTCCTGATTTGGCAAACAGCTCCCCCGCCCCACACACCTCCTTTTTTTCTTGGGTAAAACTTCCTGAATCGACAGTAAAGAGAACTGTTACCTCACCTGAGAGTTTTAGGAGGAAAATGGCATTGAGGTTTAATTATAGAGAGCCCCACAGTAGTTACCACTTTCTAAAATTCAAATGACTTTTTTCCAAGAAGAGGAAAAAAAAGTTGTTTTCCCAAGCCAGCCGGCTGACCGGTGGGTGAGCTCCAGGAGGGCGAGATACCGCCCAGTGTGCCTTCTGGCCTTAGCTGGCTGTAAGGGTGAAGGCCTCTCCAGCTCTCGCTGGCTAAAAAAGCCAGCGGTAGAAAGAGTATGGATTTACAAGGCCATCCTGGAAGCTCAAAGAAGGAGGACATATGTCGCAAGCCCAGAAGAGCCTCTCTGTTGACTGTTTTCACCCAGAGATGCACATCTTCCTTCAGAAAGGCCAAGAGGAACCGGGCCAGGGAGCGGGCTGTTAACACAACTGCCTCTGTCCCCTCATCTCAGAAGTGGGGAAGTGGGCAGTTGTTTTCATCAGTGGTGACCACAGCCTCTCTTGGGGCCCCTTGCAGCCACTCTCAGAGCTTGGTACTCCAATCGGTTTTTTTCCTCTTCTTCAAAGCTGCACACAGCCAGGACTCAGCCGTTTCCATTGAAACCTTCCTGAGAATCTGATTAGGCCCATGTTAGGCTTCTCCTGGCGCTGTCTGTGTTATCTCTGGTTTGGAGGGGAAAAGGTTTGTTATTGATTCACTCCCTGCCACCTCTGGGTCTTTGCTCAGATGTCACCTTCTCAGAGAGGACTTTTCCAAACCACACATGTAGTCCCCACTCCTAACGGATCCTGTTCTTCCCTCTTCTCTGCTTCGTTTTCCTCCATGACACTTGTCACCTCCTAACGCGCTTTGTACATGCACTACGGCTTACTTCTCCATTTTCTTACCCCACCCCACGCACACCCTCGGCTCTAGAATAGAAAATGTAAGGCTCAGAAATGTGGGCTGCACCCTTGACCCCTAGAACAGTGCCTGGCACGCACTAGGTATTCGGTGAGTATTTGCTGACTAATGAATGAATTGGGGGAATTTCTGAAACTAGAAAGAAGATATGGGGGAGCTATACTGTTTGATCAAGGCGAATATTTCTGAAGTGCACAGGCCTGGCGGGGGAAGATTAAAAGGCGTGGAAAAAGACAGCACTGAAGCGATGTGGACCTGGCCACTTTGCCATTTCATGTTTACAAAAAACTAGCGAGTTAGGTATCATTGTTGATATTTCATAAATAGAAAAATACAGGCATAGAACGTTCACATGCTCACCCAAGGTCAAACCCAAACTCACGCAAAGAGAAAGCGGCAGACCTCAGGGATGTCCGACTCCGTAGGTGTGTTCTTTTCTACTACGCTGTTGTTGGTTCCCTGACTTCTGTTTGGGACAAAGCCTGGTCATTTGACATCCTAAGCTTATACAGTTAAAAAGCGCAGATCTGGATTCAAATCCCAGCTCTGCCACTCGGCTGTGTATCTTGAGGCCAGCCTCTCATCTCTTTGGGTACTTGTTTCTCTATAAGGAAAATTAAAATGTGAGAACTAGCAATCTATGATTCTACTTACTCCTCTTAACGGCCCCGTCAGGTAGGAAGAGAATGAATATCATTAACTCTAGAAGAAGAAATTAAAACCCAGAAAGACTACATGACTCACATGTGGTTAAGCAACATGTCAAGTCAGTGGTCCAGAGAGAACACTCTATAACAAAGTATTAGAAACTGTGGCACACCGGATAAGGTCTGGGTCAGGGATCTTGCTTGGGCCAGGCTGGCTGGATGTGAGGATGCATGCTCCATGTTCCAGTGAAAGTGCTTCTCTGAAAGGACACAATCCACAGAAGTCTATTAAAATTCAATCTATAGAAAATCTAAAGTTGCCTTGGGCTCTAGACTTGTATTTCTTTGTTCTTACACTTGAGAATGCTGTCTCTGTTGATTACTTTTCTATTTTGTTTGGTTTGCTGGATAAATGCTGTATGTGAAACACTAGGAATCACTTAAATAAGAGAAAAAACACAAACAAATCTTTGCTTCACCCTGACATGAGACCTACAGTAGTGGTTTTGAGCATTTGATGTCTAATTGAGCACATGCTGTGTTAAGAAAAAACTTTACTTAGGCAAACTTAAAGTGTTAGTTTTAGTGGCCCTGCATCTTTGGAGAAAGGCTATTTTAGCTGAGACATCCTCTTCTCTGTCTACCTTGCAGCAAGGGCAGAATTAAGTCAGATCTTCAGTCTATGAAATCAGTTTTGAATTTTTTTTTCCTTTTGGCTAAATAATATTCTATCTTTGCTGGCACAGAATCGTTGGGCCATACATTCTTCTATAAGTAAAAAACGCCAAACTTGTGAAAATTGTACTCTGATCCCTCTCTGTAACACCAGCACTCATGAAAAGTCCAACATTTATGGAATTCCTTAGTTTGTGATTTGGGAATCTCCTCTCCACCCCCTGCACCACCAGACAAGAGCCTCTCTCCTCTCTTGGGTCCAGTCCTAGGCTGCAAGCCAAGGGCTGTGGAGCCCAAGCAACCCTTGTGGGTCACCCTTGAGAGTTGTGTTGGTGAAGGCCAGCCTGGTCAGGCTGCAGGTGCCCAAGAAGGTCGGGGCAATTCCAAGGAAAATCTGATTTGTGAGGAGCATGGTGTGAAGGGCATACAGCCTCACAGGGGTGGAGGGGCCCTCTTCATCTCTTTGGCAGGATTTAAAACTATCTAGGATGGCAGCAATGGAGGAAAAGATAGCAAATGTTAGCAGAAGGGAGAGACCAAGTTTGTGCTCGTGGGCTCACATTTTTCCCTGAGAGAAATGCCTTCCTGACCCTCTCTATCCCCAAAAGCCCAGAGGAAGAGTTTTACTGGCACAATTAGTGTTTTTAAATGTATTACTATTCCCCGTAGGTTTCCATCATGCTTTTAAAAATTGGATTCAGCATCTTTACAAGTTATTCATGCGTGATAGCTTCATGTTTTCCCCCCTAGTTGCTGCTTATTTTATCTATCTATCTATCTATCTATCTGTCTGTCTGTCTGTCTGTCTGTCTGTCTGTCTGGTTTCCCAAGCAACTAGCTCCTTTGGTGAATATTTATTCAGCACCTACTATGTGCTAAGCACTGTACGTGGTATTATGACAGACAATGCCAAGGCTTTGACATTCTAATTAGGAGCTCTCTGATGATTCTGCCCCTTCACCCTCTCTTTGCTGCTTTTGCTTTCTAGTTACTTTATCACATACGCTCATATTCATCTTCAATTTTTCATCTAAAGATAAGGTGCTAAAATATAATTATCAAAGAGGTAAAAAAAAAATGACTCCATACAAATATAAAAATGAACACATACTAAAGACTTTAACTCACTGATTCATGAGGGAACCAGAAAGATGTTAAAACCAGTTCAAAGGATAATGTGAAGAACAAATATATATGTAGGCAATTTAGGATATTGAAACAAATTTACTAATACGTAGATGCAAAATTGCCTGGCACATAGTAATACTCAGTAAATGTTAACTGTTTGTTTGAAATGTCTGTCATACCTGGCAGTTCTTAATAAATATCACTAAATTGAACCTGATTGAACAGAAGGGTGGGTGGGGTGAAAGTGGGGACAGGTATCGGAGCCTAGTCATAGAGGGGCCACTTACAGCAGAAGACAGATTTTGCCGAGCAGTCTGTTCTGCAAATGATATTTGAAGTGTTTATGCCAATTCCTGTAGTTGCTTAGACTTGCTTTTAATTTAGGATGATTCTAAGACCAGACTAGACAAGTGGTGATGAATTTCAGTAAAACCTCCCAGGAAGATAGCAGGTTTTTGCATGCCACGTTTGAACTTCTCATTTTTCAGGTAGGGAGAGGTGAAATGGTTTTTGTGAGCAGAGTTGAAACTATCTTTTAAGGATTAGAATCATAAAGAGATGTTGCTACCTGGAATGGCAGGGTCAAACAGTAAAAGCAGTGCTGTTTGGTGGCCGTTTCTTCTCTGTCTAACCACAGACAGTGGTACTTGTCCAGGTCCTTTAATTCTGTGTGCCTCAGATAACTGAGTGGACCATTTTTTTTTCCCCCAACGCTTCTTTTGTAAACTTGTATTTTAGATTCTTCTTTGGAGTAAAACACGCTCTTCAGCTGTTTAAAAGGTGTGATTTCTGAGTTGTGCAAACTCCACATTCCTTCACTGTACTTCCCCCATTCAATCTTGGCTGCCACAGCCAGGAAGAAAGCGTGAGGACCCTTTTGTCTTGCATCTGCCCAGGAACCTTAGCAGCAGACAGGAACTGCTCCAGGTCTGTCAAATAGATACGTTCCAAATTTTTTAATTGTTCTGCGAGGTGCTTCAGGAGCTTTGCAAACATTTGATTCAAATTTCATTTTTTACTGTTTAAAAATTGGTTATTAAAAACAAATGATTTGATTAATGTCAAACGAGGCATTTTTCAGAGGCCCCACTCACTGCTTCATCCTCTCTCTGGTTAGAAGAATGCACAGAGTGGGTAGAATTCCTGGGGAGTCCTGCTCTGGATGAGCTGTCACACATGGATGAGGTGAGCAGGGCAGGGCGAAAAACCTATGTAATGAGTTCCTGGTCTTAATATTTCTAATATGCTGTAAACAGTAATTTCTCATTAATGACATGGATTAGGCGGCTGATAATTAACTGTCTAATGTGAATCTTCATAAAGGAAGTTTAAAAAGTGTACTGAAAAACATTTTAAAAAAAGTAAATGGTTCAGGATCATGAAAAAATTCTGGAAGTGGATAGTGGTTGCACAGCATCGTGAACGTATACTTAATGATTAAAATGGTAAATTTTATGTTATATACATTTTATTACAATAAATAAATTTAAGCATATATAACTCAAATGAGCTATATATTAATTTTTATAAATTGGAGATTTCTCATGTGCTATTCAGTTTTTATGTAGACTTTGAATAAAGCATTTCCTCCCATCTTTATTTATTTAAAGACTACCTTGAGACCAAAAGGTGATCATTTAAAAATTGTTACTGTTTACAACTAAATTTATATAAAAATCAGAATTTTCTTGATAGTTACTGAGTAACCAAAACTAAATACAAAAACCCGTTGGGTGATGAGGCTGTCACTCTTTTCCATCAGGTCTATTTCTAAATGTTTTGTTAAACAAAACAGCCACTTGGAATGATATTTTAATAAGGAGATGTTTTAATTTTAACATATGAAGATAATTTTTGCTAAAAATGCCATTTTAATCTGTTATATTTTATGATACTGTTAAGAGTCCCATTGCTTAGAAAAAATAGTTTGAAACCACTCTACTACATCATCTTAAAATTCTCTCTGACTTGTTTATTATAATTTAAAAATATTTAGTGTTTGTAAAGATTTATATTCTGTGGGTTACTTTTAGCAGCCAATGAAAAAATAATAGAAGCAAAATGTATATTTATCTTCAGAGTAGGTGAATCAAAAAGATAAAATTATTCAATAAGTCTATTCCCTGTCTTCATCTGGCTACATGTAAATAATCATGTACACTGGAGTTCTAATTTCTTGATGTGTGGACAAGAGTTATGTTAATTTAACAGTTCTTAGTCTTGATCTTATGAAGTTATTTTTTTAAACTCCTTTGTTCTAATTTAATCTTCCTTTTCTAGCTGAGTGATATAGCTCTTTCAGAGAAAATGATTCATCCTTTCCAAATTATCTAGATGGGGGGAACCTCCCCCCCCATTTTCATGCAGTCTTCCTGTGTATGTGTTTATTTAGGGAGATAATCATAGTTTTATCAAATTCTCAAGGGATTCTGCAAGATGTAAATAATTGCCTTCATTCTTAATCCTTTTTTTTTTTCCTAATGTAAATTTTGCCTATGACTCATCTAAAAGGGAATTTTTCTATGAACAGTAGGATCAGGTCACCAAGAGAAATAAAGGAACATGTTTGTGTCTGGTGCATTTATTTCTTCTGGGATAAACTGCCAAAACTACGTTAAAATCCCCACCCTACTATGAGACTGCCCTTGAATTTTAATTTCTAGTTTAGTATTAAATGTAAGAACTTAGAAAAAATTATCTGAAGAAAAAAAGATAGTTTAATGATACGTTTCATATTCTAATAAACATTTAAGAAATTCAAATTATGACATCAAATGAGCTTGATATATTTCATAATAGTTTAACATCATAATAAAAGGAAATACTTAGTTGAGACCAAGAAAATAGTGTCTCTTTGTTTTTAAGTGCAGACTCTTATTTTTAAATTAAAGATAGCTTTTAGAATATTCTAAATCAAAAAAGGTCAGAAGCTACTGATTTTCTCTTCTTTCCTACTGAATACATTTGAATGAACTTTTCAATACAGTGATTTTTGCGGTTTGGTGAGGCATTCAGAAGATTAACTTAGAGGTAAATGTCACTGGGCAGGTCACCTAACCCCCTAGTCTCCATTTTCTCATAATATTCAAATTAATCAATATAGCCAAATTACAGGATTAACTATGGTAATGATTATTGAGACCACCTCTCAAACTGGGAAGTTCTTTTTAATAGTATTTATTCTATTATTATATGTTATGCTACCTACAAAATCCAAAAGAGAAAAGACGAAGAGAAAAAAAGACTACAAAATACGAGATTACTAACCTCACCCTCATTCATCAGAGCAAACTATAATGTATTTCCTGAAAAGTTGTATTGTTGAATTTGTAACGGTTGTCTTCCACTTACTAACTAACCCCTTACTGTAATTAAGATTCTTCAGCCCTGGACTTCGTACTTAGTGGAAATAAATTTTGGTTTTGCAGCTAACAATTATGTGGTTAGAAAATGACATTACCAAGTTGAGCGTAGCTCAAAGCATCTTATCTGGTCCATATCAACTCTTCTTTCCTCTTTTGTGAGGGATGGGAAGGCTTATTGTATGGCCTCTATCCTCAGAAAAAGTTTAGCCTAAATGTCCCTTCAAACATATATCTCAGTGTCCAGACTCTGGAGAGGCATTTTGCCATTTCTGCATGGGAGCCCCATCCCTAGACAAGTATTCTAAGCCCCCACAGTCCTACCACCACCACGATAGTGCCCAAGCCCAGGTGACCTGGAACAAAGAGCATCTGCCACCTGTTTTCAGTTTTCTATTGCTGCATAACAAATTCCCCGCCAAACTTAGCCATTTAAATAATAAGCATTTATTATCCCTACCCCACTGCCTTCCGCCCTTCTCCAGTATAGTAACGGCTATATCTACATCGGCACTGGTGAAACCCTCACTGTCATTTCAGAGCATCTGTTCTGAGATCTCTCGGTCTTGAAATTTTAGCAAATAAATATTACAGCCTGGTTCTTTCCGCGGTTTGAAAAGAGAGAATGCAAGAAAGGGGAGAAGGGTATGATTTGGTGTCAAAGGCGAGAACTGTTCCCATATTCAATACATATATAGTAGTGGCTCCAAGGGCCATGATGCCATCAACTCAGAAAATCCTCATAAAACCCCTGTGTAAAAATGTCACGTTGCCTAATGCAGATTCCAGACAAATGCTCAGTTCCATCTTCCAACCAGGTTGCTACCTCCTTAGTTTTACCTTACGTAGAAATTCTTGAGCTATCTCTGTCTGAATGTAAATTGTTATGTGTTTGCCCAGAGTCTAGTACAGCACCTGGTGCTCAAGAGTAGTTTGTATACATGAATAAAATTAGCCACTAAGACTACATTGAAGAGTTTTGTCTAAAAATCTTTAAAATATTTTTTTCATCCTGGCATATTAATTTTGAAGACTGGCTTTAGACATTACCATGGGAGAGTGATTATAGGACATATACTGTGGGCTCTTGGCCAAACATATTTTTCTTTCCCACACGTAATCTCTCTGTCCTCCAATATCTCATAATTCATTGTTCTGACTGCGCTTAGAACATCCTGTCTCTACCAGATTGTGAGAACCTTAAGGGCTGGAATTTGGACTTAACTAATTTTCCTTGATCCTGTACATTATCTTACAAATAGCAGGTGTTCACATCAACATTTATTCATTTTGTGCAATTTCCTTATCTGAAGGACACCCTTTCTTTTGTAAAATGATATCACAAACTGAAAAGTATTGGTTGGCACATTTTCTGGTAAAAAAAAAAAAAAGGAAACATAGCACAGCATAGTAGAAAGAAAGTGAGTACTAATTTTGAACTGTTCTGTTGTTTTTGGGTCTGTGCTCAAAAATAAAAGATTTTTTTAAATCATTAAAAAAAGAAGAAAGAAAGGAAAGATGACATCAAATAGAAGATCAAGGAAGGGTCTCTCAAATTTTGTCATTTATTTAAGTTTTTGAGAATCTCATTTAATCTCTGTACTTCTGAGTTTTCCCATCTGTAAAAGGAGAAAATTGTCACCACATGACTCCAAGGTGATTTCCAACGCAATGATTCTAACATATTTGGGCACTTGAATTCTTTTAATTAGAACATCTGGCAAGAGTAAGTTCTGCTATTTGTCCTCGGTTGTCTTCTCCAAGAGGACGGACAGGTAACTATGGACACTTTATTAGTTATCTATTGATGTCTAACAAATTACCCCCAAATTTAGGCTCTTTAAACAAGAATACACATTCATTCTCTTGTAGAGTTTCTGAGGGTCAGGAATTCAGGAGCCTCTTAGCTGATGGTTCTGGCTTGAAGTGTCTCAGGATTCGGTTGCCAAAAAGTTGGCTGAGGGTGCAGTCTTCTAAGATTTGCCTGGGGACAAAGAGCCCGCTCCCAAGATGGCACATTCACATGACTGTTGACAAGAAGTTCCAGTTGCTCATCACGCGGACCTCCCTGTAGGGCTGCTGGAGTGTCCTCACAACATGGCAGTTGGCTTCACCTACAAAGACTGACTAAGGGCAAAAGCAAGGAAGAAGCCACAATGCTTTTCATGACCCAGTCTCACAAGTCACACACTGTCACTTCTGCCACATTCCATTTGCTAGAAACAAGTTTACTGAATATATCCCACACTCTAGGGAAGAGAAATTAGGCTGCCTCTCTTAAAAGGAGGAGTATCAAAGAATTTGTGAATTCATTGTGAATTTGTCAACTTATTTTAAAACCCCCACAAAGATATATTGTTTAAAATAGAGAGGATCAGAACTGTAAGACAGAATGTGGAAGTTACAACAACGAACATTTCTAGAGTGACTCGCTGTTTAGAAAGCATCTCCCACATTTTCTTATTTGGTTGTCACAACAACCTAGTAGATCAACAGCATTAATGCCCCTATTTAGAAATGAGAAAATGGAAGCTAGGTGACTTTTCTGAGGTTATTCAGCAAGTAAGCTGTGTAGCTGAGAGTT